CTGTTCTTGCCAAGGCCTCCCGTTAGACCCGGAGACTGCCCCTGCAGCATCCTCACACACTGCACATCCCGCCCCATACAATGAGTTTTCTAAAGCTAGGGGTAACTTCTTTTTTTTTTGGAGAGATTTTTGCTATAGGGCACGTGTGCTTGCCCAAAAGACAGAGACAGAAAGTGAGAAATCGCCCCCCGGGGGGATGGCCACGCCGCAATCCCTTCTCCTCCATGCTCCTCTCGGGATCTTGGGCACACACGCACACGCGCCTGGCGTGAGTTTAAGCCACCAGGTCCAGGACTCAAACCGCAGTCGACTACATGGGAGTCCAGCGACAGCCCTTACGCCAACTGCGGGTCCCGGTAACTTCTATTTCTGGTGTGTGGACTCTCATCCTAGTCCACTGACCATGTTACAGACTCGCCAACAAAAAGACTGTCCATGAGGCAGTGACTCAAGTGACGTCGATGCTCGCAGTTTCTTTTTGAACTGGTTTGTTAACTCTATCACAAATTCACTTTCATGGTGGCTTTTCATTGCAAAGTTACCAACTTCCTAAAATGGCCAGACGGCCCCTTCTAGGGTAGTGACTGGCCAGGAAAGCCACCGAGGGGAACAAAGCCAGTCCTCGGTTAGGAAAACGGATGTGAAGGGAACCGAAGTCACAGTTTGTGGTCAAACAATTCAGGATTCACAGGGACCTCCCAGAGGAGGAGGCCACCCAGGGACGCCAGGCAGAGAGGCCGGGAAGGGGTCTGAGGTCAGGCCTTACACCACTCAGGAGAGATGACCCTGCTGCCTTGAGCTGTGGGCACGACACCCTCCCCAGCTGCTCAGCACGACCAACGCGTTTCTCACTCGCAGTACGGAACTCATTCGGGTTGGCAGGTGACTGCTCCCGGTCTCTCGGGGACGTAGGCCGTGGCTGCCTGGGCATCCACAGCTGTTTCATCTGACAGCTCTCAGCTCGGGCAGCTAGAGGATGTGGACTTTTAACTCAGCCTAGAAAAGCAGCGTGCCATGTCCTGCCACATCTCACTGGCCGGAACTGGTCACGCGACCCTCCGTACTACTGGAAAGAGGAATCACCCATGTAGCAGGAGTGGAACCAGAGGGACACGTGGGCACAGGTAGCGTCTACCCCAGGGACTAGGACAGGGCTGTGAGCCAGCAGGGCAGATGTTGTGGGGCAGGTGGCAGGGAGAGCCATGAGGTTCCAGGGACGGCTCCTCAGCCTCGCTCGGCTCAGGTTAGAGAGGGTTCTAGGAGTGCCAACAGAACCGAGCGACGTTTGTCGTTTCAGGATAGCTGGGAAACAGCAGCTTTTAGGGGGTCTTCTGCTCTCTTGTTCTAATCTGCGAATTCTCTAATTTCATCTTTGTCTAAATATCACCTTCACAGACCCAGTGCACAGTGAAAGGGTGCGGACTTCCATTATGAACACCACATTGCCCCCCACTTTGGGAGTCTAGGGGGCTGATTACGTTAAGGTCCCAGAGATCCTATCCACCTTTGAAAAGGCCAAGCCAATCCACGCAGCCCTCTGGATTCACCATCCCCTTCACCATGTGGGACTGAAGGATTGGGGGTTTAGGGAGGGACAGGGGACTTTGCATTTTTTAAGTGAAGATTCCAAGCCATCCCGCTGCCTTCTCACTCTCAGTTGCTTCTAACACATGCTTGAAACGTCCAAGCATTTGCACGTCTTTTCGCACCGTCCTCCAGCGTCTGAGAAGGACAAGACATAACATTTATCTCATTGTGTTACTTTCAGAATCTCCTATCAGAAAGGAATGTCCCCTCTGCTTCGTGGAGTTTAGTTTCATTGTCCATAAAGTAGAGATGATAAACCTGCCCACAGAGCTGCTGTGAGAATTAAGGAGATGCAGAGAGAGAGCCTTTGGTCAGGGAGTGTCTAGAACTCTGTAGAGACGGATCTGTTTTCGGAGCCGGGACTGCATTCCCTCACACAGAGCCCAGACTCCGTGAGGAGGGAGGTACTGATGCGGGGCAGTAGGAGGGGAGCCCCTGGCGTGGCCCTGGCACCGGGAAACCCTGTGTGACAGCAGCCTCAGTGCCCCAGGGCCGTCCCACTGTGCTCTTCCTCCCCAGGAATGGCAGCGGGGCAGCGGGCGGCAGGCTCGGTGAGGGCCGTCCCACTGTGCTCTTCCTCCCCAGGGATGGCAGCAGGGCAGCAGGCGGCAGGTTCGGTTTGTGGCTCTGCTCGCCACGGCCATCGCTACGTTCCATGGTATGACTTCTGCTTCTCTCTGAATTGCAGTGCCAGTGGCAGATATTAAAGCCGTGGTGACGGGGAAGGACTGCCCTCACATGAAAGAGAAAGGTGCCCTGAAACAGAACAAGGTACGGTTCCCGGCTCACCGCGAGCAGCTCTGTGCACAGGGTGGCCAGTCACTCCGCTGGGATGGGCCCTGCTGCACAGTGCATGTGTGCACACTGTACGTGTCTCTGTGTGCTCATGTGTGCGCATACCATACATGTCTGTGTCTGCTCCCATGTGTGCACACCATACGTGTCTGTGTGTGTGCTCGCGTGTGTGCACACCGTACGTGTCTGTGTGTGCTCGTGTGTGTGCACACCGTACGTGTCTGTGTGTGCTCACGTGTGTGCACACCGTACGTGTCTGTGTGTGCTCGCGTGTGCGTACACCATACGTGTCTGTGAGTGCTCGCATGTGTGCACACCGTACGTGTCTGTGAGTGCTTGTGTGCACACACCGTAGATGTCTGTGTGTGTGCTCGTGTGTATGTGCACACCATACATGTCTCTGTGCATGGTCATGTGTGTGCACACTGTACATGCCTGTGTGTGTGCATGTGTGTGCACACACGTATGTCTGTGTGTGCTCATGTGTGCACGCTGTACGTTTTCATGTGTGTGTGTTTGTGTGTATGCACACACCGTACATGTCTCTGTGTGCTTGCGTATGTGCGCACACATACATGCCTGTGTGAGTTCATGTGTGGGGCACATGCCATGCATGTCTGTGTGTGTGCTCGCGTACTGTACATGTGTGTGTGTCCATGTGTGCACGCTTTACGTGTCTTCATGTGTGTGCGTGTGGGGCGCATCTTCTCCTCAGCTCTGTATGCTCTCCTGTCTTTCTGCGTCTCGCGCCCTACCTTCCCCCCCTTGGCTACCTTTCTCATGCCCACTGTCTCTGTGCCCCGCTCCTGTCAGTCGCAGCCCTGGCAGGGGCGTCTCACTGCGGTCACGCCGTCCTCCCCTGACCTCCCATCATGCTCACCGTCGTCCTTTCCCAGCTCGACCCCGACATGTTTCATTTTCTTTGCTGTGATCATCCCGTCAGTGTCTCCCTGGAGCTCAGTGAAGCCAGGACAGGCAGAGACCAGCCGGCTCAAAGACCCTTCGAACAGTTTAGGGGCCTGCGAGAAGAGGCTATGGAACCTCAAACCCAGCTTCAGAGAGAAAATTGCATTGCTCAAGCCAACTTCACACGGCAACGTGTTCCACCAGCCTTCCCAGCCCGCCGAGCGCTACCAGCCCGCCCCTCTGCAGAGGGCGTGGGAGAGGGCACGCCTGGGAAGGGAGGGAATGTCGTTTGTAGGAGTTAGCTCTTGGAGGGGCTGTGGGGCTAACCCTTTGCTTCTACCTGGTATACCGCGCTGCAGCCCACCCGTGAACAGTTCCCAGACGGAGCTGGGCACTCTGGACACCTGGTCTCAGAAATGGCATACAGATAAACCCGTTGCTTCTTTATTCCTAACATCAGTATAAAAGATAAATGCCAAGGTGGGGCCAGCAGGTGGCGTGGCGGTTGAGGCACTGCACTCCCACATGGTCGACCACCGCGTGATGAGGCACTGCACTCCCACATGGTCGACCACTGCGTGAGTCCTAGACCTGGCAGCTTTCTCTCGCTCTCTCTCGCTCTCTCAGCACACATGACCTACAGCAAGTTAAAATAATATTAATAATAATAAATTGAAGGAAAAATAGATGCCAAGGTGCTGCACATCCTACTTATCAGAGTTAACGTAAATAGTCCCTGCGCTATCATTTCAAATGTCGTCAGACAAGGGGAGTCTAGGTCTTTGCAGGTGCCCCGTGCGTGGTTTAGGAAGACAAAGGTACACGGAAGCACCATCCAGGAAGGCAGAGGCGAGGTACCGCCGGGCAGCTGATTGCAGTCTTACTCCTCGGTGACATGAGCTCAGCTCGCCTGTTCAAAAGTCGGAGTGAGCCCTCCTTTCCTGAACCCGGCCCAGCACCTTCTCCTACTGCACTTAGCCGAGAAGCCTGGTGACACAAGGGCGTGCCCCAGAGGCCAGCTCTGGGGGCTCGCTGTCCCACAGCAGGCGGGGAGGCCTCGTCTCTCCTGCTGCTCCCCAGCTCCAGATCCAGAGGAGCAGCCTTCAGTCACAGCAAGCCCCGAGCGTCTGCGGTCTGCCTCCTCAGCACCAGCAGGGATCTCCATATGTTCCCGGTGTCAGGTGTTCGCTCCACAGTCAGAGCGCCGGCTCTGCTCAGCTTCAGCTGCGGCCCCACCGTTACGCAACACTTGGCTCTGAGCAGGAAACACTGTGGGAAATTGGCAACCACGAGAGCCCGAAACCGGAGAAGGCCAGGAGGGAGTAGCTGGCAGCACGCAGCCCGGCAGGACGCAGACGCACTGAGCAGGGGCCGGGAGGATTATGTAAGACGGGTGCACCGGGACTTCCTGCTTCAGCCCAGCACGGAAAGAGCTGGGTTCTCTCCTGTGGTAAGAAGATGCTGAGCGGCGTGGCAGTCAGCAGCCCGACCCTGGGGTTGTAGCACACCAGCCCCAGGACACGGGCAGGAAGCTGCATTAGGGGCAGGGTCTGCTTACTTGAGCTGATCTACCAGAACACTCACACCCGTCTTGATGAACTGGGGCAAACTGAGCGTGGACTAGCGAGAGAGGGAGGGATGCTTGGAGGTGGCAGTCCTGTGGGGCGGGGACATGGTTCCATGGACTTTTTCCCCAGGAACCTGCAGGTTCTCGCAGTGAGGATCTAAGATCTCTTGTGGCTCTGGCAGGAGATGGGTAAGAGTAATTGTGAAATATGCCAGACCTTCTCCATAACACAGGCCTGTTCTGCAGACTGTTATCCCAGCTAGGGGGAGGATTTCCCTCCTTCCAGCCCCTTTCAGCCTTTCCTCTTCAACTGCAGATTTGGAAGAGGGAGAGACATGGTCAACAATGGCCAGAAACTCGAGGAAATTGATTGGCAACGCCACAACCAGAGAAGCCAGGAGCGGGGAGTAGGAGAAGCTGTTCCACTGCAGAAACGCCTGAAAAAGTGACAGGCCCAAGAAGCAGGACCCTTAAACAATTGAGATTTAATTGGAAGATTATAGAACATGCTCCCTTCTCCATACCCTATTACCACACCAGCGAGAATCCAAAATAAAGCAGCAGATTATAATCAACAGATCTGCAAGACCCAGACCCTCTGAGAGGAGTACTTAGAGAAGCAAAGGCATAGAAGAGACAGAGGCAGGGATGCTAGAAGAGGCTGAGCCCTCTGGGGCTCACAGCCGTGGCAACACTAACCATAGCTGCTTCCCGCCAGAATGACATGAACTGTCATCCTAGAGACCTGCTCACTTCACTTTGTATTATCTGGTGTAATGTGTCTAGATTTCAACAAGAAATTAGAGGCATGTTAAAAGGAAAAACAGCAGACTGCAGAAAGAAAGCAAACATCAGAACCAAAGGAATTTAACATAACACAATGAAAAATGTTATGGGCTATAATGGAAAAATAGACAGCATACAAAAATGGATGGGGTACATAAGCAGAGAGAAACTTTAAGGTTGTCAGAATCGCTGTAGCGGAAATAAAGAATATATTCTTTCTTTCTTTTTTAAATAGAGGTTTGTGCTATAGGTCACATGCACTCACCAGAGAAACAGCAAGAAATCACCCACCAGGGAAGATGGCCACACTGCAATCCCTTCTCCTCCATTCTCTTCTCAGATTTTGAGCACACAAGCACCTGTGCCCAGCATGAATTTTAAGCCACCAGATGTGGGACTTGAACCACGATCAACTACGTGGGAGTGCAGTGATGTAATTATTATGCCATCTGCTGGTCCCAAGAATACATTCAGAGGGCTCATTAGCAGACTTGCCATGGCTGACCTTGGAGATGGATTGACAGGAACTGCTTAAACTGCAGTGCAAAAGGTGGAAGTGAAAATTACTGAACAACTGAAAAGTAGCGTATGTGTAACTGGGAAACCAGAGGAAGAGAAGAGAATGGAAGGGAAGAAATGCTGAAGTAATAATGGCCAAATTTTCCAAAATTATTGACAGACATTAAACCACAGATGCAGGAAGTTTACGGTCAAACACTCAGGACACTACACCTAGGCGTAACTTCAGTAAACCAAACACAAAGGGAAAAGTCTTGAAGGAAGCCAAGAGAGGGAAAAACACTCTACCCACAGAAGAACAACGATGAGAATTAGAGTGGAATCCTCCTCAGAAACCATGTACGCAAGGAAAGCGTGGAGTGAGATCTGTAAAGCACTGGAAGGAAAAACCCACCAGCTTAGAATTCTCTAGCCAATGAAATTACCCTTCAATACAAAGGAGAAATAAACATTTTTTCATATAAACAAGATCTGAGAAAATTAATTCCTAGCAGACCTGCTCTGCAAGAAATACGAGAAAAATTGTTTCAATCAGAAGCTGAGATCTAGGTAAAGAAAGGAAGAGCATCAGAGAAAGAATAAATTAAAATAAAATACAAATTAATATTTCTTATTAATTGATCTAGAAAAAGATAACTTTGTTTAAGGTCATAATAGAAACCATGTATTAGATGCTAAAAGCACAGGAGAAGTGGAAGAATGGAAACAAAGTGGCCAGAAACAAGAAGGAATTGGGATACTCAGTTTAAAAGGAGAAGGCAGAAATGGGGAAGAAATAAAAACCAAATGCATCAAATAGAAAATAGCCACAAACACATACCGATCTGACTATGCCTTAATCACTTTTAAAGTGTAAATAGTGTAAACACAGCAACTAATGTACAGCCCATCATACTGTAAATGGATAAAGCAATGAATAAAGCCCAACTGTGTATTGTCTACAAGAAGCCTGCTTTGGGACCAGCAGTTAGTGTAATGACTATGTCGCTGGACTCCCACATAGTCGACCACGGTTCGTGTCCCAGACCCAGTGGCTTAAACTCACGCCAGGCACGTGTGCGTGCATGCCCAAGATCCAGAGAGAATGCAGGAGAAGGGATTGCGGCATGGCCATCCCCGTGGGGGGTGATTTCTCGCTTTCTGTCTCTCTGTCTCTCTCTGTTTGTCTGTCTGTCTGCCAAGTGCACGAGCCCTATAG